GACTGGGGGAGGAAAGACAGGGAGTTACTGTTTAATGGATACAGAACTTCAGTATTAAAAGATGAAGATGGATGGGGGTGATGATTGCACAACATTATGAATGTATTCAATACCACTGTACACTTAAAAATGATTAAACTGGTTAAATCTTATGTGCATTTCAACAGAATTTAAAAAGTTGAAAAAAAAAAACACACATCTACTTCCATGTATCTATTATATTGTGTTACTTATGCACAGATATGCATCCTCCTTTTTTAACTATTAATATATTTTGTAGTCAGTTTATAGCAAGACCTAGAGAATGTCTTAGTCTTTTCTTAAAGTGGCAGTGTTCCACTGCACAGATTTATAATAATTTACTTAGTCATTATCAGTCAATGGACATGACATTTTGTTTCAGATCATTTAATACAAAAATACTACTGCAACAAATAAGCCTATTTATGTGTAAGAGGAAAACAAAGCATAATTCTCATACATGGAAGACTTTTAGTACTGGTTACAAAGTGGGCAAAAAACACAGATAAAAAATAAAAATCCATTTGATCTCATCTAGGGTGTATCTATATTTTATCCCCATTATCACAAGAGTGATTTTCCTAGCACAGAGTCAGACAGTAATATAGAGTAAAGATGCAGAAAGACAAAGTGAAAGCTGATGTTCAGAAAGGCTGTTGCTAATAAAATGGAGTAAGGAAGAGGAAAAGATCATAACAATGATACATTCAATCTTTTGCTTATACCCCAGGGGTACAATTTTGCAGTCCTGAGAATAATTCCTCTCTCAGACATTAGCTATATTTATCCCACGCAAATCACATGTTTGAGGGCTGCGGGCATAGGCACAAATCTAGGGGCAAACTTAAAAATTAGGCATTGTGAATTATTTCAAAGGGTAATAATACATACATAACCCTTTAATTGTGATTTGTCAGGTTCCCTTCCCTATACTTTCCTGGCCACATAGGTAAGGCCATCTATACCCTGGACAAGGGTTCAAGGTGCTCTCAGATGAAGGAAATAGATTAGATTCTATGTCAAACTTGCTTGGTTGATCCAGTTCTCATGTTGTGCCATCTTAAGAAATGAAGTCTTTACCTTAATTTGCAGGTTAATAATGCCTTTGTAATCCAGGCAGTAACTTAGTCCCTCTTGACCTAGTCCTGTCCTATTACTGTCAGTTTACCCCAGAAACTGAAGTCCTATCCTTGAATCCCAGGCCATTATGTGAGGCCCCCGCAAGAGACTTCCAGAATACATACACACTAGCTCTAGCATAGATTTACCTCAGCACAAATCTTTAAATGCTTACTGATCCTAGAGACATATTCTCCTTGGTGGAACAAGATCAGCTTACTCCATCTACCCCAACAACTCCTCACCTAGGATATCTTTTTTCCATTAATACCAAGTGGAACTCTTCTAAAATACCTGACTCAACTTAGTGGTCATGTCTAGTTTTCTGTTTTCACTCAAGGAGACTCCCTTATTCTACTTTCCAGAATTTGTGCCCAAGTGACACTTACGTGGTATTACTGCCAAATATGCATAACCTGAATCTAATTATGAGCAAACTCAAATTGATTAAATCTACAGAATACAACGTATTAGGAAACAGGTTTTTTTCACTCATGCAACACTTTGATTTCTTCATTTATCATGCAGCTACTATGTACCACACACACAAAAATGTTGATCCTTGCATGTAGCACAACACAACTTTCAAAGAGCTTATAGTGCTTAAGATGTATTTTTCAATATCCTAATACAATTGTCAATTAGTGGGAAGAAAAAACACTCATCCTTCCTTTCTCATAAACAATAGTAGAAAAAGGATTTCTATGGACCACAGGGTTAGTGATACAGACACTAGGGTTATGTGTTCATTGCTGCAGGTAATTCAAGGGAAATGGTAGAGGGGAAAAAGATGTTAAGGTATATCTGTAGAAAAACAAAACTATGTACCAGAAATAAAGCCTGCCTCAACGTATTACATAATGAATTTTATAGACAATATGCTAAGTCACAAAGATACACACCCTTCACTGAATCTTCGTGAAAATGTTGCAATCTACTGTGAAGAGTTCTGATCAATCTTTAGGAAAAACGTACTATAACCGCATATTACTTAATTTAAATGTGTACCTACATTTCTGGTAAACAGTTTTAAGTTTAAGTTAGCACTGCAGTATAAGAAAATTAACTATTCAAAATTACTCTATCCCAAAGCTCTGTATAGGCTACACTGCAGTATAAATGTTCAGTGCCTTTTCTGAAAGCTTTAAGAGACAACAAGGCAATGTGGAGAAACAGGAACCCTCTTGCACTGTTGGTAGGAATGCAGATTGGTGCAGCCAACTGTGGAAAGCAGTATGGAGATAACCTCAAAAAATTAAAAATGGATTTACCTTTTGACCTAGAGATCTCAGTTCCGGGAATGTATTTGAAGGAACCCAAAACCCTAATTCGAAAGAACATAAGCACCTCTATGTTTACTGCAGCATTATTTACAATTGCCAAGATATGTAAGCAGCCTAAGTGTCCATCAGTAGATGAGTGGATAAAACAAACATAGGACATTTACACAATGGAATACCACTTGGCCATAAAAAAGGAGAAAATTTTACTCTTTGCAATAGTATGGATGGACCTGGAGAATATTATTCTAAGTGAAATAAGCCAGCAGAGAAAGAGAAAACCATATGATTTCACTCATTTGTGGAATCTAATGAAAAAACTGAAATATTTTCAAGACAGACTCATAGATAGAGAGCAGGGTGACAGCTATCATGGGAGGATGGTAGTGGATGAAGGAATTGAGCAAAAAGGAAGAGACTCAAGAACACAGACAACAGTGTGGTGATTGGGAGGGGTAGTATAAGTGGATTAAATAGTATGGAAAAAATACAATAAAAATTTAAAAAAATAAAGTATATGAAATACTAAAAAAAAGGACCTATGTCATAGTATTGGTGTGAAGGCTAAATGACATAAAAAGTGTCAGAACAGTGCAAAGCCCAGAGGAAAAACTCAGGAAGTGGTGTTTCTAAGATCAAGACACATGCCTGGGTCAGGTGAAAGTGAAGATAGCCATGTGAATATAGAAGTGTGAAAATATGAACTGAAGTCTAACCAAGCCTCTAGAATGTTACAGTTCTATCCTGGTCAACATTTTTTCAATTTTTATAAACATAGGATGAACATGTACTATTTACCTACTACATTCTATAGCAGTGATTTCGCTAAAAATCAAATCATACTTACAACCACAAAAGAGCTAAGCATTCAGATGCACAGATTCCTTTTAATCAAGGAAAGCAAAATATTATCAGGAATGCAGCTACAGACATGTAAAAATTAAGTAGGTTCTAAAGAATGATACAATAGCCTGCTGAAAAGGTAAAAAATTCTCTTAGTGGGAAAAAATATGTTTCCTTAAAGAAGACAGTGCTTAATCTGAATCTTGTAAGTGAAAAATTGGAGGAAAACAAATTCAAGTAAGCAATCATGTACGGAGTTAATTTTCCTACCTTCAAGTAAGTTTAGTCTTATTTCTACTTTTGCACTTAAAATCCATGAATCCTAGAAAAAGCAATATAATTTGCCTAGAGTCTCAGAAAAATCATATAGTAATAAGGGGCACTAAAACCATCTCTGGCTTCTAAGTGCAAGACTCTCACTTTTCTCAAAGTAGTTTTGTAAGAAATGTACCACCAAATACTCCTACAAAATAAATATATACTATAAAGAATGGTTACAATGCATGTCTTTTCCTCCATGATTTTTTCCCTTTAAATAAAAGTGGAAGATAAAAGCAAGTACAGTGAAAATGGTAGAAGTCTCCCTTTTATCCTTTTTTTTTTTTTTAAAGATTGTCCTGGAAAAGTAAAGAGTATGAAGTTCCACTGAAGCTAATAAAAAAACTGTGTCAGACAGGTAAATGCTGATGGAACAGCAAACACATTAAAAAAAAAAAGTCCTAGGTCACCACAAAGGACATATAACTTGTTAAAAAACATTAGCATCAATTAACAGGTAGGTCCTATTTGTGTCATAATTCAAAACCAACTAACTGTGTTTAAAGCAATAATACTTATGAAATGATTATAATCTTTAAATTGGTTAAATTGGTTATTTGGTAATCTTAATAATCTTGTTACTTTGGGACAAGAAATGATATTGGGGTGATGTTTAAAAGAGAGAGAAATTAAGGTTTTATCTTTTAGCAGTACATGCTGAAATATTTACAGATGGAATGAAGTCTAGGATGACCTTCAAAATAACATGGGAAGGAAAGAACAGAGGGAGAGATAAAACAAGATTGGCCATCACTTGTAACTGTTATAGCTGGGTAATGGTTACATGAAGGGTTCATTATACTATTATGCCTCCTATAAAAAGAGGCTGAAATATTCTATAATAAAAGCTTTTATAAAAATTGTTAATGACAAATTCCATCATAATAGTGTAGAACATCACAAGCCTTAATTCCCTGACACATTCATACTATTGTCTCTAAGAACTTATGCTGCCTAAATTAAATGACTGGTGTACTAAGAATAAAGATAACTCTCAATATAAGAACACCTGGAGATCTTCAAAACTTCTCAATCATGTATCAATGAAAATATATTCTGAAACTTGCCCCAAATCGCAAGCTAATGCTACCAAAGTACATACGTAGGAGCTCACAAGAATTCAGAGCTCCATCTAAAAAGCAGGGAAGTCATTACTAACTATACCTCATATTCCATGTTAATCACCTTTATGCCTTCATATGGATTACCATTTATTTACAAGACAAATAAGGAGAGCAAAAAAGATACTGTAACCATTATCCTTTTTCTGATCACTGCCACAACAATTTATGAAGTTTCCAAGAATCATTAGTATGCCGCTAAAAGGATTGACAGTACTAGAATTAACAAACAGTTCATATCAAGCCCCTCTCTATTTGGTAACCATTATAGAAAAAAGACAAGCATAACAATACATACCGGAGGCCGACCAGGACGACCCCTTTTTCTTTTTCCTTTGACCTCTGTTTCTTCAAGTTCGCTGCCAGCATCAGAATGAGCAGTGGTTTCATTAGTTGAATCCCTAGAAAATGTGATATATTATTTTAGTGAACAAATTAATTCACTAGTACAATTTAGTTTTGTTCCATTCCTTTCTTTTACCTCCTGTTACAATGATGGTCATAAGTGATTTATACTTCTACTTTAGCAAATCAAAAAAGTTATCCTTCCTGTCTAATATCACATAACACTGAGTGAAATGAAGTTCACAAACAGAGAAATAAAGAGGAGGAAATGACTGTGGAAATGGCAGCTGCTGTACAAAATATAAATGTAAAATACAGCTGAAAAGCTGTATTTTTTCATACTTCTTCAATATGAAAAAAAGGTTTGGGAAAAATTTTATTTATTTTATAAAATCATGAAAGCCGGTGGTGTACTGGTAAATGTTTATCAACCGGGCTTCAAAAATATATATATGCACATAAACAATTAGAAATGTTACAAATATAAAGGACACACAGCATACAATTTATAAACAGTAATAAAACACATAAGTTTTTATTGTAGAGAAGGGGGAAGGGAGGGAGGAAGAGAGGAAGAGAAACATCGATATGAGAGAGAAAAATCAATTGGTTGCCTCTCTTACACGCCCAGACAGGAAACCAAGCCAGCAACTTATCATGATGCAGAATGACATCAAACCGACTGAGCCACATTGGTCAGGACAAAATACATAATATTCTTTATGGTAAATTCCATATAGCTCATTGATTCACCTAAAATGATTTTGATAATTTTGCCAAACTCTGATATTCATAGCTAACCTAAGGTTGCAAGTGATGAACAAATAGGGATTTGACATGAAAGATGGTTGATGGCTTTGTTATCTTGAGTGAATAGGATGCAAGTGAAATGACAAAGACATTTGTTGAAACTTAAATCATTGTTCACTGGTGTAAAACTTCTTTACTGAATTGGATAATAGTTCTCAAATACTGGAAGAATACTTCAACTATTGTGCTATCATAATGCAATGGGTATAGGCCTGATACAAGTTTAATCTCCATTATTAAAAATATTTCTCTCACCTACAGAACCTAAAGACAATTGACAAAAAATAAATTGAGCCCTGATTTACAATAGTTGCTGATTTTCATAATGTAAGTATTCCCACCACAGCCAATTTCAAACTACCAAACACGGTTGGGAAGCAATGAATAGTACACCACTAAAAGTATTTATACCATACAAATAGAATAGGTAAAAATAAAAACTTAAAGAGCAGAAAATAATAAGTAAAATAATAAGGGTGATGAGTTTTGAGTATTACTACTTTTAATTTTAGGAAGTGATGAGTTTTAAGTATTATTACTCTTATTTTTAGTATTTATTTAATTTTAAATTTGTGGATTAAACTTTTTATGATGGCTATATTTAATCAGAGTCACAAAATTCCTAGAAATTTGATGTTCAGCTCTTCAGTCCAGTACATGTTGGTTCTAGCATGGCACTGAAAAGGTACAAATAATGTGAACAAGAACTTCTTCATTAATTTCTACATTACCAACTATACATTATTAATAAACCTGACAGTCTCTCACTCAAGATTTTTAACTGCATGTGTAACATGTTTTTTTTTTTAATGCAACCTCAAGTTCACAAAATACCGCCAGTAAAATTAAACCCAATACTGATTTATTTCGAATTCTATGCCCATGGAAATAATAGCTAATTAACCAATTTATTAAGTTAAAGCATGCATGAGCTTTATGTTGCTGTAAAATTTATTGCTGTCACCACACCACTATCTTGTCTTGAGACTCAAATTATTAGTAAATGATAGTACAAAGAATTGCATAAATATTCCTCGTACCATCAGCCAACAAATACTCCTGTGTTGTCCTCAGTATAATGATTTTATCTCTCACTCTTCCACGATTATTAGCCATAATCACCACCCCCTGAATTAATCTCATCTCCCTTCTTCTAATTCCTTTGTCCAAGCCATTCTATGTACTGCTGCCAGTAACATTCTTCTATTGTACTGCTGCCAGTAACATTCTTCTATTGTGTTACCTCCATGCTTGCAAATCTTCAAAGGTAATCTATAATAGTACCTGAAACTATAAATAATATTGACCCAATTCAGGAATCATCAAACATTTTCTTAACGATACTGTAAATACTTTAGGCTTGGAAGTCTTAAGTATCTTTATATCTACTACTCAACTCTGGCACCATAGCATGAAAGCAGCCAGGAACAATACATAAATGAAATGGATGTGGCTGCTGTCCGGTAATACTTAAAAACAGGCATCTGTGTCACTAGTGGTAGTTTGTCAATCCCTGATCTAGTTGATCTTACTCGTCTCTACTAAAGAACAATAAATCATACTGCTTTTTCTGCTCACTGAAGTTCAAAGAGACTATGTTTACCATATATACTATGTGCCAGTGTATACAACACATGCACAAAAACCTTGTAAGAAAACATATTATTTCCCCAATTTTACAGATGAGGTAACGAAAAACATGAAAACTTGATAATCTTGTCCACCATCAAATACTTAGTAAGTGACAGAGTACACTTACATATCAAGGTAAACTTGAATTCTCTATCTCCATGTCAGGATTCTAGAATGCAAATATTATGTTTTGTATTTCTCTTGTGTAAATGGAATCCACTGGTGCTTTTGATGCTTATAGAAATATCTAGACAACCACAGGAGCAGGTTGGTTCCAGCCTATAATATATGACCCATTAGTGAAACTAATTTATCCTTTAACAGTAAAGTTTACAGACAAAAAAGTACAATTTGTTTTCCAATTTTGCCAACTGCAGCTTAAAAGGTGACAGCTATTACCAATAAACAACTAATACACTCCAATTGGTATATGTAGGTATGTTTTTTTATTATATGATAATTTTTTTTTAATATCAAGTAATGAAGATATAAGAATACAAGGAAGGGATTCACTTCATCAAATCCTAACTTTGAATCTCAACTGCAGAATAACATTGTTAACAGTTTCATCAATAGTTTTCTATAGTGTTTGTGTATGTATCAAAATATAAAATATCCGTATTTCCATTTTTAAAACTTTAACAGAAAATTCCATACAAGTACATAGGATTCCTGAATGGTACTACATAGTATCTATAAAATTTATTAAACTACTTCCATATCAGTGAGCACTTAGATTGTGCCTAGTTTTGTACCATTACAAACAGAGCTAAACAACTGTCCTTCTTCATTTACTCTTATTACACACCAACAAATATCTCTCTTGGATAGACTCATTAGAATACCGTGTGTCAAAGGGTATACAAATTCAAATTTCAACAAACTGCTCAACACAACTCCTGTAAAGAGCTAATGTTCACATTTATAAGACTACTGGACAAAAATTACAAGAATGGAAGAATCCAATCAAATCTTACATAAATGATTTTTCTTTTTTTGGCTCCCTAAGAGCTCTCTAAATTCTGTCTACCTCTTTCCATTTCTACTGTAATCACTTTAATTCAAGTTGTAATCATCTCTAGCCTGGTTACTGCAACATCCTCCTCCTAAAAGATCATCTTGCTTCTATTGCTGCCTCCTTCCAAGTTTATCACTATACTGCACAAAGAGTGATTTTCCAAGTGTAGGGTAAATGGAGGCAATCTGGCTTCCTCACCAAGGTGTCTAGATAACTAAGGGAAGTAGTTTCTCAGAACCTTTAAGGGGTCTGATAAAGTAGTGTTCTCATTGCCTTGAATATGTGTCAGCCTTTAGACTGAGTCCGATAAACAGTTCCCATTACGTGAAGAGGGTTCGGATGCACAGAATCATGCTATGTTACCTAACAGCTTGGCCTCTTGCCGGCTTTGTTTGTTCTAATACTTAAGAAGGTAGGGGCTTCTCACTGTGTGTGCACACATAGATATGCAGCCTGTAGCCTGTGTGGCTTGCCCACCCTTGAATAAAGGCATGTCAAGCATCCCCATGGCTCTACACATTTTCTTCCATCTATCTGAGTCTCGGAGTGGACCTGCCTGGCCTAAACAGGCTGCAACACACCAAATATATGTCTAATTAGGTCTCTCCCATGCTTAAAAACCTACAATAGCTTCCTACTACTCCTATGAACTCAAATTCTTAATATAAGTTAACACGTTCCTGTATGGTATAACCCCACTCTATCACAAGCCTTATCTCATGCCACTCTCTGTTCTCAACTGTGAAAAAAATAAAAATAAAAAAATAAAACAGATTTAATGCAGTCCCTCAAAAATACCGCTAAGTCCTCTAAGGGTCTTTGAACATAGCATTCCTTCAATCTGAAATTAATAGGGTGATCCTTTCCCCAAACCCTCCCTCCACTTTAGATTAAGTTGAACTATCTCATCCTGAGAAAAGTAGACTAATCAAGGCATGTGTTAAAATTCTCATAAAATCCTCTAATTTATCTTTATGGCACCGAAGTTATTTTAGACCCATATATTTGTGATTATTTGATCAATATCTAATGGCAAGAAGGACCGAGTCTCTCAAAAGCCGAGCATACTCCCTGGTATAGCAATATGTGGAGGAATATATGATAATTGATAATATTTGATGATGGCTAATAGTAAACAGCACTATGATAACAAATTCATTAGTAATTATGATATCTAAGTAAGCCAAGAAATAATGAGGTCACTTACTACAGTGGCCTTTCTAGTACTGACATTACAAAAATCATTACTGAACCAAACATTAAGAATGGCTGGATCAAGAGAGGTTTGTTTATGAGGAGTTCTTAGTGTTTAACTTATAATATATTTTCTTCACTTTACAAATTATGGAAATTGAAATTTAAATCCTTACAATGCAGACACAATACTGGTAGACAGATGGATTAAACAAGATAATGTATGCTATTAATCAATCTGGTAAAATCTTGAGAAAACTGTATGTCTTTAGTAAATGCTTCTGAGATTTTAACTTGACCAAGAGTACCATCTCTAGCTAATAGACTGAAAACAAAGTTCATTTCCCTACCTCACAGATCACCACTATCTAATCCCATAGTCATATACAGGTTTACATTTTCAGGAAAAACAAATTCAGTTACAAAACATGTGAAGTCGATATAACCTCTCTCCAAATACAGTACTTATTTAAATCCCAGTTTAAGCAGAAACAATAAGAGTTATAAAACACTACATGTTAAGTATAATGCTACAAAAGAAAAAAAAAAAGCTTAGAGTAGCACAGGATTTCAGGAGGGAACCTACCCAATTTTTGAGGGATCAGAAGAGCTTTACTGGAGACATGACACTTAGGCAAAGACCTAAAAAAGGGCAAGTGAGTTCCCTGGGTAAAAAGGTAGAGAGGTGCACAGGCATTGCAGGCAGGATGAAGATAAACAAAAGTACAAGGGAAAAAAAAATTTCATGTGGAGACCTCTATATTCAAGTTAAAGACTAATAAAGAGGCTTTAGGTAAATAACTAGAAAAGGCTTAAACTGTATCTTCTATATTTGGAGGAAAGGAAGGCAAGTTATCGACGGTTTTTCAAGCAGTAAAGTAGTTAATACAGCTTTTTTGTCTTAGAACTCTGGAAGACAGACAGAAGGCCCAGACACCAATGGGAACTTGGAAAAGAGGTATATAAATGAACTGGATTTGGGGTGGGGAACACATAGTACAATATAGAGATGATGTATTATAGAATTATACAACTGAAACTTATAATATCATTAACCAATAGCACCAAATAATTCAATTAAAAAATGAAAATTAAAAAACTGTCTTCTACACTCAAAAAAGTAAACTGGGAGAGTAAAAATATAGATAATTGTGTAAACTATTGATCTGTTTCATCATATCTAAACTGTTATGATATAGAATTGCAGCAAGCAGATTACTAATTTGCATCTTGATGAAACGTATACAAGTATCTACCATTACACACTGATCACGTTTCCCAGGAAATCCAAACATTACACCCAATTCTAGATTTGTCCTACAACTGCAACAAATCTAATGAGGTGTCACCAGAAATGCCAAACGGTTTGTCCTTCACTTACTTCTGGCTTAACAACCTCAATCTCTGGGAACACAAGAGGGAGGTAGGAGGTATGTTAAGAAGACAGTGTGATACAGGAACATTTTCTGTAAATGGCCAAACAAAAAAAGCATGGTTTACAAGCAATCTATTATCCATCACAACCTGTAGCACAAGATCATAAATAACCAATCTATAAAGGGATGAATGTGGGTCTGTTCTAATTAATAATTTGTTATTTGCAAAAACAGGCAGCATAACAGAATTGGCCCATGGGTCATAGTTTGCTGACCCTTCATATGACACAGTAACATCTTTTTTTGTTCAATATCACAAATCATTATTGACATTACAATACCAAAGGCCATGGATGGATATACCAATTATACACCCTAACAGTTCTTAGAATTCAAACACAGTGCCTCATTTTAAGAGAACATATTTGATATGTCTCCTTATACAGAGTGTTTTGACATAGAAAAATATCATACATACTTTTTAAAAATAAGAAAACTACAATACTTACTGTAACACTGGTAACTCTGAAGTAATCATTGCTGGAGAGGTCTTTCCACAGTAGAGCAAAAGAACCAAGTGCTGTACAACTCAAAACTTTAAAAATAACCTCAAAGGCAATCCTGTTAATAAAAAGAAATATTTTTCCAGTTTTAATGAGATATAATTGACAAATAAAGCTGCAAGATATTTAAACTGTACAATGTGATTATTTTATATACATGTGCATTGTAAAGGACTTCCCCGCAAGTTAATTAACACATCCATCACCTCATATATTTACCTTTTTTGTGTGAGAACATTTAAGTTCTACTGTCTTGGCAAATTCCAATTACATAATAAGGTGTTATCAACTACAGACACCATGTTATACATTAGATCTTGGGCCTTTATTCATCCATAACTACAAGTATATATATTTGCACCAACCTCTCCCTATTTCCCCACCCCACAGTCCCTACCAATCACTGTTTTATTGTTTCTAAAATTTCAACATTTTTTAAAAAGATTCTACATATAAGTGATGCCATGTGGCATTTGTCTTTTTCTGCGGCTTATTTCATTTAGCACAATGCTCTCCAGGTTCATCCATGTTGTCAAATGACAGAATTTCCTTTTTTAAAAAACACAGAATGATATTCATTGTATATTTGTATACATATACAAACACACACACACCACATTTTCTTTACTTATTCATCTGTCCATAGACTTTACTTCCATACCTTGGCAATTTGTGAGTAATGCTGCTAAGAACATGGGAATAGTTTACCTTTTGGGATGATTTTGTTTCGTGTGAAAATGTACTCAGTAATGGGATTGCTAAATAATATGGCATTTTTATTTTAAATTATCTGAGAAACCTCCATGCTGTTTTATGTTTCTACCAGCAGTGTATAAGGGTTTCTTTTCCTCCACATCCTCAGAGTATTCACCTCTTGTCTTTTTGATAATGGGTATCCTAACACATATGAGGTGATGTTATGGTTTTGATTTGCCTTTCCTGAAAGATGCTGAATACCTTTCCATGTACCCATTGGTCATTTGCATGTCTTCTTTTGAAAAATGTCTACTTAGCTCACTTGAAAAGAAAAATTATTATGAAATTAATATCCTGACTATACAGACTACAATCAATTACTACTACAAGATACCATACACCTTGGTATTTACCCAAATTAACTGAAAACTTATGCCCTGGCTAGGTGGCTTAGTTGGTTGGAATGTCATCCAATACACCAAAAGGTTGTCGGTTTGATTGCTGGTCAGGGCACATATCCAGGTTGTAGGTTTGATCCCTTGTCGGGGAACATATGGGAGACAACAGATCGATGTTTCTATCTCACATTGATCTCTCTTTCTCTCTCACTCCATTTCTCTATCTCTCTAAAAATCAATAAAGATATCCTCGAGTGAAGATTTAAAAAGGGAGGGAGGGAGGGAGGGAGGGAGGGAGGGAGGGAGGAAGGAAGGAAGGAAGGAAGGAAGGAAGGAAGGAAGGAAGGAAGGAAGGAAGGAAGGAAGGAAGGAAGGAAGGAAGGAAGGAAGGAAGGAAACATATCCACACCAAAGCCTGCACAAAGATGTTTATAGCAGCTTTATTCAAAATTGTCAAATCACGCGAGCAACCAAGATGTCTTTAAGGAGGTAAATGAATAAATAAACTGTGATATATACAGACAATGGAATATTATTTGGGACTAAAAAGAAATGAGGTATCAAGCCATAAAAAGACATGGGGGAAGCTCTAATGCTTATTACTAAGTAAAAGAAGCCAATCTGAAACTGCTAAATATTGCATGATTCCTCTATATGGCATTCTGGAAAAACTAAAACTATGAAGACAGCAAAAGGATGAATGGTTGCCAGGGGTTCAGGGGAGAGAAGGATAAACAGTTAAACACAAAGAATTTTTAGGGTAGTGAAACTATTCTGTATGCTACTACAATGATGGGTATAGATATATGTCATGTATTTGTTAAAACCCATAGAATGTACAACATCAAGAAAAAACCCTTCTGTAAACTATGGACTTTGAGTGATAACACATGTCAATCTAAGTTCACTGATTGTAAAAGATGTATCACTCTGGTACAGGATGCTGATAGTGGAGAAGGCTGTATCTATCTGGGAACAGGAGATATAGGGGTGTTTCTCTCTACCTATCCACATATTCTGCTGTGAACTTAAAACGTCTTTAAAAAATAAAGTCTATTTAAAAAAGTAGCAGAGGAAGTAGGATAAAACAGAGAATCTAAGACAGGCCATGATACACTACCAAATGAAGTAACATGGGTACAGCTTTGAGAGAGAGAGAGAGAGAGAGAGAGAGAGAGAGAGAGAGAGAGAGAGAGAGAGAATGTAGAGGGCAGAATAAATATTTGATGAGTTAACCCAAGAGAACTTTTCAAAAAATAATTTAAGATATTAAAACACAGATGAAAAGATCAGAGAATTCTGGAGCAGAATAAATACTCTAAAAAATAAATATTGCTAAAAAACAAAGTTAAAGAGAAAATTAAAAAGGAAGCTAAAGAAATAAAATTCCTCACATACCAAAAAACAAAGATGAATACATCAGACTTTTCAGTGGAAACTATATAAGCTGAAAGTCATGGAACAGCATCCTTAAAGAGTTGAAAGGAAACAACATGAGGCCTGAATTATGTATCCAATGATAACAATCTTTCAAAAAGGAAAGTAAGAAGTGTTATCATGCAAAGTGGAGAAGTAGGCAGCTCTAAGAATAAGCTTCTTGGGGAAGCAACTCTTAGGCTGGCAAAGAAAAACAAAACCAAAAACAAAACAAACCAAAAAAAAACAATCCCAACATCAACTTTTATGGAAATCTGGAATCTAACAGAAAAATAAAGAAAGGAATCCTTAACAACAACAACAGCAGCAACAACAACAAAAAAAGAGTCTACTAATTTTTTAAGAAAGCACTGTAGACATTTTGCTCACCTATCACCTCCCCTCCCCCAGCTCAATAGTGACCATTGACAGGGGCAGCAGACCAAGTTTCTGGTACAGCTTGCTAGTGCCAAAGAGAAACACATGGACCGTACTGTTAAAATTGCAGCTGTATGTTAAGAAGGCTTCCCAGCCGCCATCTTTCAAAAGAATATAAATTCATATACTACACTTAGCTGCCTGAAGCAAGACAAAGTACATGTGTCAAACAGCAGAACACATTAAAACCTCAAAATAAGGAGGCAAAGGAGGAAGATATTGTGAGGAATAAGAGCTTTAAAGGGCTATCGTGTACACCAGGAAATCCAGAGTGCTACATGCAAGTCCACAGCTGGATGCATACTTAGAGAACTGAGGGGAACATAAGCTTACAATTCTAGCTAATCTTTGGCCTCTATGCAATCACAAGGTCAAGACTAAGACTGTCCAGTTAACCTTTGAAGGAATAGCTCAACTAAGTGACAATATGTAAGCACTAAGAAATTATAGCTTTCCTTTTGACTACCAGTGGTGCAGGAATTCTGTTAAGATCATTGTTGACACTATGAAGATAAAATTTAAATTATTATACATGACAAGAATTACAGACTTTTCAAAAATAGTTTGGAAAAGTCACAAAAAGAGATGACTGCAGTCCTCAAGAAGTAACAACAGTAAAACCTGGGGAGGAGGAAAGAATCAGTGTCCAGAGTTATCACATTATAATATTCAAGTGTCCAGTTTTTAACAACAAAAACAGAAAGAACACAAGACATACAAAGAAACAGGAAAGTAAGTATAACCCATTAATGGAAAAAAAAAAGTTAACAGAAATCATCTCTAAGTAAGCCCAGGCATAAAGCTTAGGCTTGCAGAAAAGGATGGAGAAACTTCCAGAAGAGAGAGGAACAAATAGAATAAGTGTTGGTAATGATGACAGAAAATTGCCCAATTTTCATGAAATATAGACATCTACACAGTCAACGTCAACAATTTCAAGTAGGATAAATTCAAAAGAGATTCAAAGACACAAACTATAATCGAACTACAAAAGCCAAAAACAATGGAAGAATCTTGAAAAAAAGCAATGGCTTTTCACTTACAAGTAATCCCCAGTGGGATTAACAGCCAAATTCTCTTCAAAACCATGGAAGCCAGAAGGCAACACAACGACATATCTAAAGTGCTGAAAGAAAGCAGTCAAGCAAGAATTCTATATTCAGCAAACTATTGCTCAAAATGGCGGAAATCTAAGACATTCCTAGAAAAACAAAAATTGAAGATTGTGGCTAGACCTGCCCTACCCTACAACAGTTTCCTACATATTTGTGGTATGGCATTCTTGCTTCTTACATGATTTAAAAGACAAATACATAAAACAATAATTATATACCTATGTTAATGAACACACATGTACGAAGATGCAACTTAGAGCATAAGGGAGAGAGATGAATCTAGAAGCAAATCTTATAATGTATTAAAACTAAGTTACTATAAATTCAAATGAGATTAGTATAAATTCAGATGTTAATTGTCAAGTGCCAAGTTAATTACTAGGAGAGCAATTTTAAAATATAATCAGTCCTTCTTATCTGCAAATTTTGCATCCTCAAATTCACACAACAGTGGGTGGAAAAACAGTGTTTTTGATCCACAGTTGGGAATCCACAGGGGATCCTGAAACCAAACCCTTGTGAAACAGAGGAACTACTCTCTACAGAAAATAAAAATGGCACACTACAAAAAGATCAAGAACAAAAGAGGACAGTTTTAGAAAAACTGAACAACAAAGAATATGTAACACATATAGAAGAGAAATAGTTTAATGGCAAAAGTCCTTCCTTATCAGTAATCACCTTAAATGTAAATATATTAAACTCAATAGTTAAGAAATAGCTTAACACAATAAATTTTTAAAAATTAATCCAATTATATGCTATCTACCAGAGATTCATTTTAGAATTAAATACACAATCAGGTTAAAAGTAAGAATATGCAAAAATATATTCTATGCAAATAATCGAAGGAAGCTAGAGTGCCTACTCTAGTATCAGACAAAATAAATTTTAGGTCAAAACTTATGAGAGACAAAAAGGAATATAATATATTGGGTAAAAATGGACAGTTCAAACATCAACAGAAATGAAAGGAGAAATAGCGCTATAATAAT